TCCCCCCCTTTTTTTTTGGGAGTTGGTACGACCCCCCCCCAGCCCTCTGTCCTTCCTCATCGAATCGAGCCGTCGAGCCGTCGAGCGGGGGGGGCATATAGTACGTGAAACAGGAAAATCACCAAAAGTCAACCGCCACTCCCACAACGCCAAAACGTAAATACGACCCCCCTCCCAAAAATGATCAAATACGACCCCCCCTCCCTTTACAACGTCCATGAAGCGAGAAAAATCAACTATCAAAATAAATTTTTCTCAGCCCAAATACGACCCCCCCTCCTGGCGACCAAATACGACCCCCTACTGGGGATTCCCCAACAACGATGTGCCCTGAGCACAGGAGAAACTCACGGGCAAATCCGCCCCAAGAGCGGGTATGAAGTCGCTGACAAGGTGTTTTCTGTGCAGAGCTTCACTGAATGATGTCATAACTTTGTAGAAACCACTGAACTCGGAATAGTTGAGCCCTGAAAAGCAGCTTCATAACCACTGAACTCGGAATAGTTGAGCCCTGAAAAGCAGCTTCATAAGGAAAGCGTTCATCAGTTCCTCGCATCTTGTGAAGAAACGGCTGTGATCAGGGATCAGAATTTCTGTCTCCTCATTTACAAATACTGTTCTATTATTATCCTGTATGTTCTTCCAAATATACAGTAGCTCGGAGAAGGGGAGGGCGTGGCTGCGAAATTCATTGGAAAAGGACGACGATTGCCCTTCTGATCGTTCCGTGATGACGGTATTCATGCTTCTGTTCAGCGCAACGCAAGGGAAAGTTGTCTCAAGTGAGAAAATCCCATGAAAAGCACTTCCTATTCCATGTTCCATCAATGTGTGCAGCCACGCCCACCCAGCCTTCGGGACATGGAGTGTATCATACAACTGGGCCTTACCATATGGACCGTCGATCTTGAATACTTCGCAAACTTTGTCGTAGCATTTGAGAAGCACTGGGAGAAATAAGTTAAACTGCAAAGCTAAGCCACTCGTCAAATCCTGAAAATCAGTTCAATCGGTATAATCGGCCTTTTCACTCTCTCACACTACTGAGGGAGGTTTGGGCATGGCGCGGCGCCAGCCAGTTGTCCACCAATTGTGGTCGCTGCCAGGTTCATGATCGGTGGAGAATGGGCTGGCACCGCGCACATGTCCTCTCCCCTGACTGCGCAGAGAGTACGGCACTTACAGTTAAAGCCGCCCGCGACTGCTTCACATATGATTTAGCCAGTGTTTATGTTTAGCTTGGTGGGAGATGATATTTAGAGTATTTGAATTAGCAGAAAGTGCCCTGACCAAGGTGATGCACTTGCACGATTTGCAAGAATTCGCAGGTTTACCAATGTGACACTTGTCATTTTACAAGAACTAAGAGAAGGGACTAGCAAATGTGCAAAGTGTCCCACTGCGCTCCCCCAATCTCTCCCTCAATTAAGCCAGAGCCCCATGCCTCCCAACTCACCGTAACGTTCTCCTTGCGGATCCAGAACTTTTCGTCTTCGTTGACCTCAATGATATTGCCTGTTGCCATAACCGACAGCCATTCCTTGACATATCTGAAATCTTCGGTGCCTTTTCAGATATAGGTGGCCTCTGCAACTTGGTTAAAAATCTACTTTGTGGCATGTACTGTCCCTAACCGCATGACCTTAGACGCAGGAAAAAACCTGTTGAACAGCGCCCCATAACTCCTAGCACAGGCTCAACTACAGCCTTGTTCGCTACGAATGCTGAGGCGTGTCAAGAGATTGGATTTGGCGCAGCTCGCTCTCCAGCAACTGTTCAAAGGGGGCACGCAACAACAAGTGGTGCAAAACGAGCTGGTACTGCGCCAAACCCAGTCCACCTCCGGCTGACATGCCCCAGCATCCGCAGCGAACAATACTGCCACTGAAATCTCTAGCGTTTCCTTACATCATGAAACTAGTTCATCAGCAATTACTACAGATTGTTACCTCGGTCTACATCCGCATTCCACAGCCACTTGTTCAGCACCCGCTGGATGTTCCTCGCTTCCGACTTTGGCCAGTGCTTCGAATAGATGCAATTCATGGCCCAATGAGATTGCGGCCGATACCTATTCCATTGATACCGAGCTCCTAAAAACAGTGCACCAGCTATCGCTACAGATTCACAATCTATGGAGGTTTTGTGAGAACCATCTATCACTACAGGAAAAGTGCATTATCAAGCGCACAATTTGATGTGGTCTGATCTCCCACAGGACTAGGAACTTCGAAAGTTCCCTTAAGTGGGGAATCTACTCACTTTGAGCAAATCCTAGGGCCAAGAAGGTCTCATTACAGCGGCATTCACAAAATAGAGCACACCATGGGGGTAAAGTTTTGGTTTAGCATTACCGTTTCTTCACCGTATCCATTATGTCCACCACATCGGCCTCAGCAGTTGAGCCACCTCCCAACGCTTGTTTATTTTTGCTGTCGGGCAGAACAGCCCTAGTCACCTTTCCACTACCTCCTGAATCCAATTTCCCCAGAAAAACTCGTCGACTGTGGGAAGGGGGACGGAGCTCCTATTTCTCTCAACTCATCAGCATCACAACTCTCACATGCACAATGCAGGGCCAAGGACGACTCGCCTCATTAACGTCTCGGAAAATAAGGACCGCGCCTCTGTAGTGGAACTACACGTCAACTTCAAGCCTGAACTTCTCCTATATATGTCGCACCCTCGAAAAGCAATGAATATAGACTCATCTTCAAGGTAGCTCCTCATTACAGGGTTACCTTTCGTCGCCCCAAACCCTCTTCACCAAAGTGGGCAGACAATTCTTCCAACCCCCCCCCTTTTTTTTCAAAACGAGCACGTTTGGAATTCAATCGTCTGGAACATAATCTATGACCGAGAAACAAATTAGCACCACAGTACAATTTCGTGCTGATTCACGTTCACATCAGCAACTTGCAAATCGCATCGATTGAATTGAAACGGTTTGCTGGCAAAGGCCACCGCTGCATTGAACTTACCATTAATCGCTTTTGAAAATCTGTTTTCTCTGCCATTTTCTCTCTCAAGGGGCGGAACACAATTTTGTCCCCTGAAATGTTAAAGGGCAGGAGAAAAGCCATCACAAGTGTGGGCTGCAGTCCATAGGCAAGGCTTTAACGCCCAGCCAGGACTTGGAACCCGCCAGCTTAGCTCTCTATGTGCGAGTTGCGCTGTCCATTACGCTATAAAGGATGCATCTTACCGTATTCGCCGTGACTTTTAACCAATAACACAGCTTTTTTGTCCGATAATTTCAGAACGCGAACTGCCGGGCTTAAACAGCAGTTGTCATGAAGAAAACAAGGATCAAGAGCTCATAGATAGTTTTCAGCCAGAACAAAGACCCAGGGGCTCCTAGACGGTAGACAAACTACAATCGAGACATGCATGGGAACAGTAGAGCGAAGAGCGAAATGGAAACGAATATGCGCAATGTTCGCGATACAATTCGTAACGGAACCGCCCCTTTGATCGAATCGATTAAGGTTACAAAGGTCGTATGAGCAGGAACAATTTGTGTTGGAACCATAAATTATTACTAATAGCCCTGGGTATGGAAATGATTATGCGGTACCCATTGATGAATTGGAATTTAGCGACCGATGGCTGTCGAAGGCCAGCAGACTCACTTAATAAATAGGGGCACTATATGGCGGTACTACCAGGCCAGCCAAGCGCAATAGGCGTGATAAAAGGCAGAAATCCAACGGGAAGCAGTTCTAGTATCGCCGATGCATGACTTCTTTTATCTGCGAATTATTGCAGCATTCGCGTATGGGAAGGAAGGCACTCTGAAGCTGCTGAAATGCATTATCGGTGCCCTATGTCTGGCTTAGGAGAGGTGCGAGTGGCATTCTCGCTAATGTTGCCTTCTGATAGATCGTCCTCAGGCGAAGTCTCATCTTTTGGACTCTTATGAATTCTGCCGAATCAGTAAAGGCAAATGGGTCAGTCAGTACACAGTGACTGCCCGTGTTTCAACAAGAGTGGCGCCAGTGCAAAGCCTCTCTGAGCAGCATTCGGGTGCCCTCACTAAGCCGAACTGTGTCTGTCTAAGGTTGTCTGTGATTTCCGATGCAAAGACACATTACTGTATTCCATAAGGATGGCCAACAACAGCGCCTCCCTATTCTAAAACATGTGGGCTAAATGTGACCCACGAATAGCCAAACTGAATGAATTGATAGGCTCTGGCGCGGCGATGGGCTTGCTCAATATTGGGATTTGATTTTGAGAGCACTGGTTCTCTATTCCAATCTTTCACGATGCGACACGCACTTGACTTCCATCGAAAATCAGAGAGCATCATGAGCCATCCTGAGCCATCCTTCGCCCGGACCTCGTTTGCAGAAGACGACATTCGCATATGAACCATAGCGGGGAGGTTTTGCGATGAGTAGCTAACCCGAAAAGCACGATAGCTCGGACATTATATGACGAATGAAGAGGGAGGGGGACAGCGACCCATCTGATCAGCCACCTGATGAGCAACGTCAAGTAATAGCACCTGCTTGGAGTGGTCTGTATAGAGACAATGACGCGAAAAATGGCCAGAGTCTGGGTAACGCAGGGGTTTTATATGTTTTTTTGTCAGGAAACCTTTCTCATAGGAAGCCTTTTTTCCTTGGCACAACACAGATAAGGACTAAATGTTTTATCAGCGCATATCAAAGCTCTGTCAACAATCAAGGACTCGCAAAACACGGCTCATCTCGTTTGTTCATGCCGAAAATATCTTGTGAGACAGAGCCTTGTCGAAAGGACCTTCCTGTCCCTGATTTTGAATCATCTGAATCTTGGAAAACTGCAGATATCACAGTGGCTGAATCCAGTCGAACCTCAGATGGATGCCTGTTCCAAAGGATAAAAAAATTAATGGACCCAAATCAAAGTTCTAAAAATATTCGATCGAACATAAGGGCAGGTCTGTACATTTAAATGTTTGTCCTTTACGGATGGGAAAGCTCTGCAAACTCTTGGATGATTTTGTGGGTGATTTTGTGGAGGACTGCTAAACTTAATCTATATGGTGCTAGTTGCCCATCTACAGAGAATCCATGACATTCGAATTCACAAACCGCAAGCGGCAAACACCTGCAGGCGTTCTTCGGCTTGGGGGAGGCATTTCGCACGTTTACTAGCAGCTTTTGTTAGTACCTTAAAGGCAGAGTCCACGATCACTTATAACTAGCTAAACTCTTCGTCTGGACAGGTGCTGTGAACTGCGGCTAATAACCCTGTACAAGTCTCTCGTCAGAAAGTCGCAAGATAGCGGCGGTAAGGCCCGAAGTTGCTCAAGTGACTTCGCCCAAGTTTATAAATGCCTTATTTACGATCTCCTCCGTTTGCATGCTCTTTAGCTGCTTTGTCTGGCCTCTCTTCCAATACCCAAGGGGCCGTTATTTGAGTTCTCGACGGGTCCTCTTTCTCTTTTTTCTTTACGACCGGAGTCCAACTAGCTTATACTATTCTGTTTCTCAAGCCTGCACTAACTACCGATTTTTTATTCGAGTTGCCTGTACTAACAATTCCATTTTGGGTAAGACGCTGCGAACTCGAAGAAAATGCGAAATCGTACAGAGAACCGAAATCGGTACGATTTCATTACAGGTCTTTTACAAAACGCTCGCTGTTCTGGCTTCAGTCTTCGCTGAGTACGTTTCCTGTCGCTACCAAGCCGAACTCGCCCACTTCTGCTCTGAAGGTGAGCACTTCTCAACAATTGCAAAAACCTTGTTGTTCACATGATAAGTTCGCTTACCCCGACGCGTCGTCGTTTTTCCCTAATTAATGGGCAAACCCTCGTGCTTCCAGGCCCAATCGCTACTTCGAAACTTTCGGCACTTAATGTCATCTGCGACTTCGGAAAAAAATAGGAGTGGTGTGCAGCTGAAGCTTCTACCAATTCTGAAATTTGGGACCGTACTGAATGTTACAGCACTTCGCAAAACTGCGCAATGCTAATCAATACCAGCTGGAGCAGATGTTATGAACATGGCTGACATCCATTCAAAATACAGTATCACCTCCAGCTCATACGAAATTGAAGGTTTGCCATAGTTCTGTAAAACCGACCCAGATAATCTGAGAAAAAAAAGAGATCATTGCCTATTTTTCGGTCTCATTTTTTCGGAAATTCCAGGAGTGTGTCTCTCACTGTGTAATGTAAGTCTCGTGTTCAATTCCCTGATGTATTTGGCCTTGAGTTGTCAAGTAAACTTCTTTCCAACGTTTTTCTTTCCTCCCATATTCTGCAATTTCACTCTTTACATTGTTTTCTTCCATCGACGGCTAGGCTCCATTTCAGAACCAGTTTTCGTTCATAGATTGGTGCTGCGAGGGCTGCACTGAAGAACGACAAGAATTTGAGAAGAACTGCTCAGGAACACTTCATTTCGCGAAATGAAGGCATCGGTA